CACAATGCAATGTATATAAGAAAAAGTGTAGCATTATGTAAATTATATAGGTTTTCAATTCTACACAAAGCAACAATTGACATGTAACTGTCCGCATCATTTGGAGTAAATTTAGGAGTGACATTTTAGAGTTCTCAAAGTTTTTCTTTTACTCATATGTTATAATTCAATACACAGAGCCCCTCAAAGGTTTTTTTATTTAAAAAAGTAATTAATTATTTTTATTTCCCATTGTGGTTATGTTATGGACATTTAAATGTTACAAACTATTGTGTTCACAAAAGTTGTAAGCTATTATGGTTTCATTATGAATCATTGTGATATAGTTTTAAAAGAGCATATAGGTATGCACCTTTTAGATAGTGTGATTTGTAATCTATTATCATTCATGTAGTATGCGAATTATGTAATATTACATATGATTTATATTTTTTTAGTGGTGCATCATTGAAGTTCAAGTTCCTAATTCCTATAACATATTTAGAGTGTTCTCATTATTTATTAACTTATTTTTAATAGTGATTTATTTATTTTAATAACTATTTAAATCGTTTAAATCTATCAACCGTTTGCATTTGTTGAACCCTTGTTTTGGCCCCCCAATCATTAACTTCTAGATCCGTCCCTGGAATAGTAGCTTCATACTAATTCAAAAATAGACCAATGCTTTAAGAAACACAATCAAACATTAGAAAAATAAATGAAGCATAAGATATTTTAGTTTCACTATGCAAATTTTAGTAACAAACACGTACACGGATGAATTTGAGATATTAGTGAACCATCCCAGCGATGAATTGTTGAGCATATTTCCCTTGAGATATCTGACCATAAAAATAAAAAGATAAATAAGTTCATTATCAAAACTATGCATATGTATTGCACATAGACCACTTAGACATCCCATGGAAATGAAGAAATCTTTTATCTTCAACAGCATTTGAACCAACTTATACAACATTAATGGAAGACAAGATTACAATAAAAAACATAATTCCACAAATATGTTGTTTGGTGCTTACATTGAAGTCGTAACAGATAACTAAGTAATTTGTGACCACTTTTTTTTTTATAACTCATATCATAATGCAATATATTAAGATATAATAAAAGAGTATCAAAAAGTCAAAACTAACATAAAATAATATTACTTAATTTTATTTTTTTTTTTTAGATAGGGGAAGCCCATGAGGCCAAATTAGAAAACATCACAAGCCTCCAACTCAGCCAGAGAACTGAGAGAAGAAATAACATTTTCCATCCAAATTCTCAAGTGAAGTTAAAAAAGCCATTCTGGCCAAAGAATGAGCAATTTGATTTCCATCATGAAGAACATGATGATGATGGGGTCGTGCAGACTGTGGAATACCCACTTGAGTGGGTCATATGCCACTCTAATAGCCAAATGCCAAAAGCTTTGCTTTTATCCGTAGGAATGGTGTTATTGCTAAAGAGGGATTTGCTCAAGCAGGTAAGTTGTTTCTAGAAATCTTGTAAGTAGTAGTTTCTCGTTTGGCTTTTGCAATCGGACTCGAAATCCTAGTAGCTCTAAGTTGTTCACAATTAGTACTGTACATCAAATTTTATAAAGGTGAATGTATAACTCAATACGTTTTTTCCCTCACAAGGCAAGCAGTAGGCCCTAAGGCGTTGAGGTGTAAGCATTTCAAATATTAAATTTTAATATTTAGAAAATAAAATAAATATTTTAAATTAGTAAATAATAATAAAAATTAAACATAAAGGTGTAAATAGTTTTCATCTCAAGGGGTTGAACATTTTACTATAGAGAAGGAAGCTTGCCTTCATTGAAAGTAAAATTGATATTCTTAGTTTAGTGATAGAACTTGTCACTTGAGCATTAATTTTGTGTTTTTTCTTGATTCATCATTTACTTAATTTTTTCTATAGGATATAGTTGCAAAATATTTATTTTTTATACTATTTTATGTTTAAACCATCTGTTATTAGACTAAGTTTAACAAGAGCCTAAGACAAGCTCATCATATGTACTCCTCAAATGTGCAAAAGGCATACAAGGAGCATGCCTCAGACTGTGATGCACAAGCTTTTAGGGAGATCAAAGCCTTGATGCGTTTTGCCTTAGCCTCTCCTTGAGGCAAGCCTCAGTAAAAGCCTTTTAAATGCAGACCTTCATTTCTTTCATTAAATCAATATTTATAACATGCATGTCTAATGTAGATAAAAAGACGTATAGAGAGCGTGTGAGAGAGGTAGATTTTTCAAGCAATGTACCTGCATTGTTTCAGGAGAAGTCAATTGACGAATGAATTCTGGGTTTTGCATCATCTCCCTAAGTTGGGAATTGGAACCCAGCATATTGCTCTGCTGGGAATTGAGACCAAGAATCTAACAATTGAAAAGCATTAGGGAATAAGAAACTTCACATTCAAATACAAAGCAAATTGCATAACAAAGAAAATTACTACCTGATTCATGTACTGAGGGTTGGAGAGGAGACTTTGCATCATCTGTGATACAGCTGGATTTTGCATAAACTGACTTAATGAAGCAGTATCCTGCGTGGAACCAAACATCTCTGGGAGACCAAGACCACCAAGGCCACCAACTGCCGGCAGCCTAGCATCCTCAGCAGGATTCGATCTTGTAGTGGAGTTTGTTTGAGCACCACCAGCTGCCATATTCACAATAAGTTAACAATATATTAGCAACAATTACGTGCAATGGAAGACATAGAAGAGGCAGATGGGGTCCATGGCCTCCAAAACTTCAGAAAATTTAAGGGCCCAATACATTTTTGGATATTTACAGCAGAAAATAGTGATTTGCCTCCTTCCCAACGTCTAAGTAACTTTTACCTTGCCCCCTTCTAAAATTTCATCTTAATTTAACTCATTCCAATATTTCCAATTAGTCATCTATGTAACTCTTAGATTTTTTTCTTAACTTATCTTAGATTTTTTCTTTTCCTTTACCCTCCACATATTTTTCATTTTTTAGTAAGGGTTGATTTTACTTGTATCCCCTAAATTATTTCCATTTTTCTATTTTATCCCTAAACTATCACGTTCATCTATTTAGTCCCTAAAGCTTTTAATTTCAATTCATATGGTTCAATTAGAGACGGCCCATCCAAAAATTCAAATTAGTAATGTGGAAACCTAGCAACAAAGTAATTGTATAATTTGGACAATCTGAATCATACAACCAAACACCCATCTTCATACTCACACTATATTAGAATTAGGCAACTTACACCTTATAACCAAACACCCATCTTATTCTCCACTCCCTCATTTCAAAAAAGTGAACTAAAAAACATAAGTGTTTGGTCGTATGGTTTAAGTTGCTTTAAATTTTTGAAATGACTTTTTGCCCATCTCCAAGTAGCCTACATTAATTTAGGACCGAATCAAACACATGCCCCCTGACATCATGTTTGACAGTCACAATCATTTGATCTCAGTTCGTATATAATAATCAGGTCTATGTTTGACAGTCACACACTACCATACATTGAAAATGCAATATATGTTTATCAAACATAAACAACAAACTTTTGATGACCTTTTTATTGGATGTTATTTTAAAACATATTAACAACCTTCTCCATAGTAACCTTGTAGAGCAATAAACTGATACCTTCTTTCCACATTTGTATCTGTCATTGAGAAAGTCTTAAGAAACTGTAAATGCATTCATGCAAATTTGATATTTATACAATTATATATATATATATATATATATTTTTATCAATGACAGAGAAGATTATCGCAAAAGAAAAGAAAGAGATACACAAAAGGTGCAACGGTGACAAGAAGTCCACCAAACCACAATCATTAAATGGAAAATACAAATCATTTCTGCATTGGCATCAGGCACTTAACCAAGGACTTGGCAACTACTTTCATGAAGTGAACATATGCATAGTTATGTAAAACACAGAGAAAAGAATGGTGGTGTTGTGGAGGGGGGGGGGATATAGAACAATTAAAGATTGGTTTGCATAAACTAGAGTGCTCCTAAAGGCATAGACAATAAAGATTGGAAACTTTAACAGTGGATAGTCAAAAGTCCAAAACAATTTCAGCAAACTAGTCCTAATTGACAATTTTTTCGGTAAGCTATTTGTGACACATAACTCTTTAAGAAATTAGCAATGATAGAGGAAATAGATCAAAAATGGTTGTCAATTCCCTTTGGAAGTTCCCTTTTGTTACAAGTCCAGTCGTAAATTTCTCAAATGGCACCAAACAACCCACAAGGAACATATATTATCTACTATAGGAACCTAATCAAAGTACAATAAAGCATGAAGTCATGGACACTGTCAATGTTCCCAACATTCTAAAGTCTACAATTGTTCTCATTAAAAAGGGGATGTTGCACGGCAAATGCATAGGACACCATTCTATATTTCAATAGAAATTGACAATGGAGTAGCTTCACTCCTAGATGAGAGAAGCACATCAAAGCTATAGGAGGCGATTCGAGTAAAAATGTACA